CAGGAAACACTCCCTTTTGCATCTGTAATTGCTCCATCAGGGTGGTGGCTGCCCCTGCAGTCAGGGCTGAGTTTGTTGCAGATGCTGATTAGAAATCATAGCACCAACAAGCAGGTGCTGGGAGGGAACAGGGATGGTGCCAACGTGGAGAAGCTGTCGCCGGCTCCCTGGGGATCGGGAGACCCACGCAGCTGCGTACCACCCACCTGGGGAAGGGAGAGGCAGTGGAAATTGGATAAGTTGAGCAGCCACGTCCAGGCCTTCCTGGCCTTTTATTCCCTGCTTTGAGGTTCTGGTCCGCACTCTATTTCCCTTCGGTGCTCAGTGCATGTTCAGTTCCAGCTGGTCCAGAAGGTCTTGGGGAGTCCCACACCTGGGAGCTGGGGAGGGGGATCATTCCTTACCAATAGGCAGATGAGAATCTTTCTAGAGATGGAGGTCATGCAGCAACTTAAACGTAACCTGCGTCAGACTCGCATGTTTTGGTGAACGCTGAGTCTTAAATATTCATTTACAACGTTCAAGTCTGTAATTTCTTCATAAAGAATTCTAAAATAATAAAGATGACCTGGTAGGCGAAATTCACTTGTGTTTTCTAAAAGCTTTTGATAAGGTCCCTCATAAAAGATTGAGAGAACAAAACCGCAGTGTGGCGTAAAGTCCTTGTTGTGGATTAAAAAGTGATTAAGTGATAGGGAGCAGCAGAATTCTGGTGGAGACCCACTGCTTGTCTCGGGGAGAGGTTAATAGAAAGGGGTGTCTGAGGACTCTCTCGTCGGGGCCGGAGTTATTAAGTCTATTAATTGTTTGGAGAAGGAAATGGAGGGTGAATTAGTGCAGTCGGCTGCCGCTGCCCTCCTTTTTGCCATGGATTCTCCGCAGCCTTGCAGGTGCGTTGGCGGAGGAAGTGACGTCTGGGGAGGCTGACAGTGCAGCTCAGATCGCCAGAACGTCGACTCCACGCAGGGAAGATACAGTGGCCCCTGAGCTTGCTGCTCTGTTGAGGAAAGAGATTCAGGGGTTACCATGGGTGACTGCAGTTCAGTGAAGTGGTCTTTCTGAGGACACAGCAGACAGAAGAAATTGGGGTGGGGGGAGCTGAAAAATAAAGGGTTCCTTAGGAAGGACGAATGGTGCCTCTGTGTTCTCAGCTGTCCCCCTGACCTGCACAGGAAGGAGGGACAGTTCTTAGTCTTTCTGACCACGTTCTCTACTTTCACAGTCATGACGAGGGCAGTCTGCTGTACACGTTACAGACGTGTGTGGGCAGCTAGTAAAGGTGGCCTGCTGGACGGATCTGTTTGAATGACCAAAGAGGTCCTTCAGGGTCCACCACACAGCATCTCGAAGTTTCTAAGTTCAAGGTGGGGTGTCTACCCTGTTTGGGGAGAGGAGTGGTGAGCAGACCAGAGTGGTGTCCTTGTGTGTGTGTGTGGGGGGGGGGCAGTGGAGCCCTCACTGCCCACCCTCCTGGTCTGCATTTCTCCTGGCTGCCTCTCTAACTCTCCTTGCCTTGTGCCTCCAGTGGCTGAAACGCAAGTTTCCTGCGCATGGCCATTCGCCTCGAGGGCCTGTACCTTCCTGAATGGGCTCTTGCCGGCGAGCCACGGATTTCTTTCTTGGCCCCTCTCCTTTATTTACTAATTTCCTTTGGTAGCTGTCTGTCTCCTTACCCGGGTCCCACTTTAATTAAGACCTGGAAAAGTGCTGGCCTCCCTCAGAAATGTTGCTGAGTCCCTCCTTTTGGCCTGGAGCAGATGCCTCTGTGTGGGTTGGGGTCCCCCCCTCCCCCAGGGCCCCCCTGGGGAATTTTTGCAATCTTGGTCCAGCATAGTTAGAAGCGGCAATTACTACTTGGTCGCTAATTACCCGGCCTAACATTAGATCAGTTTACAGAGGGAGCTTGGAGCCTGTCAGCAAAGGTCAGCCTGAGGTCCTCTCACTAAACAGCCCTCTTGTGATAGCTGCACCAGGAAAAAGGCATTAACGGGGGAGGCTGGGGAGCCGGCTCCCGGCAGGGTCCTGGTGGGGGATGGGAGAGGGAGAAGTGCTGTTGATGACTAAAGGGGTCAGGGAAGCTGATAACCCTCCTCACAGCCTTTCTCAGAAAGTCTGGAGGAAGGGGCAGCCTTTCATTGTGAGGCTTTGCTTAGAGAGAGCGAGAGAGACACAGAAAGGAAACCAGGCCCTGTGCATTGGCGACTTTTAATGGTTGACTCTGTTAGGAAGATCGTTAGCCACAGGCTCTGAGAGGGGGCGCAGTGTCTAAGGGAGACCCCCCCACGAACGTGGAGTGCCCTTTTTGTTGTATCTTTTTAACCACCTGTACTATACTCGCTTAATTTTTTTTTTCTTTTCCTGGGCTTCCCTGTTAAAACCATAAATACCCGCTCTAACATCACCCCAAGCAGTGATATCTGAGGAATCTCAGGTTTGGGCTGGTTGTATTGGCTCAAATAAACATTAAATAGATAAAGATTTGACTTTAAAATGTTCACCTGTCACCTAAATCATCCAGCCTGTGGCCAGTGCTGCTTGCAGGACGTGCTGGAAAATTATGGTGGAAAAGACACTAAACTGGAAGTGTGAGTCCCTGTCTTCAAGTCCAGCCTGGCTCTCTCATGCCAGGTGTGACTGTGGGTGAGTCCCCTGCTTCTCTGAGCCCTAAAAATGAAGATGTGGTCTTTTGTTAGATTTATGCACAAAAAATGAGCATGTTCTCTCCCTCTCTCTCTCTCTCTCTCTCTCTCTCTCTCTCTCTCTCTCTCTCTCTCTCAATATTAACAGCGAACACTTATTAAGCATCTACTGTGCTAAATACTTCACTGTCTTATAAATCCTTACAACCATATGGGGCAAATATAATCGCTTTCTACACCCATTACATGTCTAGTGAACCCAAAGTAGGTTAGCAACAACCTGCAGCTTTTAAATGGGTCCGTGCTGGGATGCTAGCCCAGGGCTACGCGTGTAGGTTTTTGTTACTGACCCACTTCAAGGTGTTGGGTTAGTGCCTCTCCGCTCTCTGCCCGTTGGGTACAGGGCTAGAAAAAATCCTCTGATGTGGGGAGGCCAGGAAAGAAAAGAGTGTCCTGCTCCTCGCGGGTGGATCTCTGAATTCCCCCAGCAGCCCAGCACGGTCCTCAGTGCTCAATTCCCGTCGTCCATGGGGCCCTTCACTGGTTGGGACAGGCCTGGACTTCACCATAGCTCTCCCCTCCCACCCTTTCCAATCGGTAAGATCAGTATGCGGTTGATGGGGGCCTGGAAGGCAGGGGTACGATGTGTAACATTGATAAAGTTCCTGCAGCCTGAGCTTCGGAGCAGTTTCAGAACTCCCTGTTCGATCTTCTAACTGATATACCTCGTCTCACTGGCATCTGAAGCTCTGACATTGCAGGACCCAGGAGGACACGGAGTCATCCTGACCCTCCGGAGTGGCCGAGGGACGGCGCTGGGAGGTTTCGTGTGTGCCCCGCCGCCACCTGAAATTGGCACACTCTGGTGGTGGTGGGGGGGGGCGGGGGGGGTTCACTCCTTGGACTGACTGAGTCTGACACGGGCCCAGACCTAGCACTTTGGATTTGTGTAACAAGTGTACAGAAAGGAAAACACTGTTATTTTATTTTTTTTAAATATATTTTATTGATTTTTTATAGAGAGACAGGGAGAGGGATAGAGTTAGAAACATTGATGAGAGAGAAACATCCATCAGCTGCCTCCTGCACATCTCCTACTGAGGATGTGCCCACAACCAAGGTACATGCCCTTGACCAGAATCGAACCTGGGACCTTTCAACCTTTCAGCCTGCAGGCCGCGATGCTCTATCCCCTGAGCCAAACCGGTTAGGGCAGTGGTCGGCAAACTCATTAGTCAAAAGAGCCAAATATCAACAGTACAACGATTGAAATTTCTTTTGAGAGCCAAATTTTTTAAACTTAAACTATATAGGTAGGTACATTGTTATTAACTTAATTAAGGTACTCCTAAGGCTTAGGAAGAGCCACACTCAAGGGGCCAAAGAGCCGCATGTGGCTCGCGAGCCGAAGTTTGCCGAAACTGTTATTTTATAAGTCAGGGAAGTTTGGCTGAGCAGCCCGGTGAATGGAAGAGGAAGGTTTTTGGCGATAAACTCCCGATTCCTCTTCTGTCCCCGTCCCCCACCCCGAGCCAGAGAATCTTGTGCGTGAAACACGCTCTCCAAAACGATTTTACTGAACTTCCACCCCCTGGGTGCTGACTAACATGACTTCCCCTCATATAACTTCACGTTCTTGTAATTAACATATAATTTGATACCTGGAAATCCATGCTGGGTGGAGCTGGAAAGAATTACTCAGCTCCTAGCAATTCAGACTCTTGGGTTATAGAACTCCGTGTGCCGAGTCCTGTTCTCCTGTTACTGCTAACTCGTTTTGCCAGTATCCCCGCTGCTACTTCTTCCTTCTGTCCTGCGAGGATGCGTGAAATCATGACACAGTAGGTTTTTATCACTCAAGCAGCTGAAGGGGTGTTGGCTTCTGCATGTGGACTGCCTGCTTCTCTGGTACTTGCGTTCTTTGCTTTCTTCTCCTATGGCTGGAGGGATTGGATGGTGTCAGAGTTTATTTCACTTCCTGCTTCTTTGTCAAAGCGAGGCCACCAGTATTTTTTTTAAATGCAGTAATTATCAGGGCGATTCTTCCATTGAAATTTGGAGTGTATGCCAATCGTTATAAGTTTAGTTAAGGAAATTATCCATTGTGTCGGCACATGTATTAAGGTGGGGTGACCATAGTTCTTATCCTATGTGATACCTGCTCATTTAAAGATGTGAAGGCTGGGCGAACTCTGACCCAGAGCTGAGAATCAGCAGAGTTAAAAGCCAATCAGGATATCTTGAAAGTAAATCGGAATGTCCACATGTTTTGAAAGAGGACATGAAGAGCAGTTCAGATGGGAAATTGTATGTGATGTGAACGCAGAGGAAGGAGAAGAGTGACTCCCTTAAGCAGCGATGGCAGATGGGTTCTGGCTTGCATACCGCCTCTCCGCAGTCACAGCTTCCTGACCCAGTGGACAGAGACGGAGCCACAGGCCCGGCCCAGGCCGAGCATGCCGTCTTCCGTGGGCTGCAGAGAAGGTAGGCGTGCGAGAGGAGCGTGGACGCTGGGCACGTGTTCCCAGCCATGGCTCGTGCTTGTGCTTTCAGGGTTTGAGAACTTGACTTTGGAAAGCTTCTAAATTTGTTCCTAGCGGGTTGATTTATTTTGTTGAGGTCAAATTAGAGCTAATGGCCCTAATGGTTTACAATGCTCCTAAATGGTTCTTAGCACTTAGGCAGGCTTGCCCGGCCAGTGTGGGTGGGCTTCCAAGTGTGGACCATGTCATTCCGAGGGTATATGTTTGGTTGAAGTTATTGTTGAGAGTACAGCGTGTATGTGTAGGTCGGTTAAAAGGTACCAGCAGAATTAGTCACGCTTAATATTCAATTCTGTCTTGGTACCAGGTCCAGGGGTGTGTTTGGGAATGTGGACCCTGTGGGCTTGCAGCTGGCAGTTTTGTTGCTGGTGATCGTATGTCGTCTGCCACTTTGCCGAGGCGTGTGCTGCTCGTGAGATGCAGCAGTGGGGAAGCTTCAGCTTTCCTCTGGCTGTTCCTGGTTGCCAGGTAGTTCCTGTGAGAGCAGGTACCCAGGTTAAAGGAATCTCAGCGCATGCCTTCCAGTCACGCTGTGGTGTCTGGGAGTTCATGGCAAGGTCTTTGGCAAGGGGATCCCACTCCATAAAAAACTGGCTCCAGTCTCCTGATTTCTGAGCGATTGGGAGTAGGAAGAGCAGACAGGTGTCTGCAGAGGAGCTGCGTGTCTCTACGGGTCCACAGAATTAACCCACGTGTACAGGCGGGCTCTGAGGGCAGTGACCTCCAGGGCTGCCTGGTGCAGCTGAAAGGGGGGAGCGGTGGGAGGGCAGGGACTCTGCTCCCTAAACTGAGGTGGTGGTGCAAGGGGCATTGGTTAACGATTTCTCCATGCTTTGATGGGGCTCGGGGTGTGTGTGTGGGTGGGGGGGAGCTGTCTCCAAAGCGTCTTTCTTTGGCCCATCAATTTTCAGAGTAGCTCCCCCAAAGTTGCAAATGTGGTTTTGAAGGCCAAGTCCCGTCGAATTCTATTATGGGTGAAATCCTATTGGTTGCCGTGGATTGAGCCAGAGCGATGGAGGGTTGAGTGAGGGATGGGGGCTTTGCCTTCTGATTACTAATGGAATGGCTACTTGGCTCTCAGAACTTGGGTTCCCTTTTCCCCTCCCGTATACTCTGCAAACACGCTTTCAGTATGTTTGCATGGTTTGCAGTCCCGAAGCTACTGTACTTACCATTCTCAGACCCAATGGATTTTCCCTTGAGCAGTTTGAAGAACATAATGCTACCTAAGTGATGCCTACCTCTTATTGAGAAAAATCTCTACATTCATCCGGTTCATCTTGAAAATATCACCGTCGTCGTGAACAGTGCTGTTCATTCAAAGACTTGGGTCTCAAGGCAGATAGATGGCTGTGTTGGTGACCAGGAAGGAGTTATTTTCCACTGTTAACAAAATTGAGCTGGTGCATTGGGCATGATAGAACGCAAGACATGAGCCCAGTGTAGCAGCCAAAGTCACCATGGAGCGGTGTCGGTGGAAATGCTTGACCACGTTCAGTCCATGGCCACCAAGTTCTCCAGAGAAGTTTTAATTACAAACCATGGTGGTGTGGTTTTTCAAATGTGTTACAACAAATGGATGTCAGCCCAAGTAGCCCTCAGCCCCCTCCATCAATAAAACCCCATAATTATCACATGGTGGGCTCCAAGGAGGAAGTCTCAACGCCCTGAGTGTCTAGTCGGCTGCGCTTCCGGCCTCCCTTTCCTGGAGTGGGAGGCAGGGAGAGGGTGTTGAAGGACAGCCCTTTCCTCAGAGGTCCTGGGGGTGATGATGCACCCTGGACGGGCGCTGTTGCTGTCCCAGGGAGGGACATGTCAGTAGCCTGGAGGGTCAGGTCTGCTTTTCGGTGGGGGGCCAGGGGTGGGAGTTTGGGGGTGGGAGGATAGTTGAAATGGAAGACCTTGAAATGGCAAATCTTTATTAGTTTTGTAAACAGCTTTAGGAAGCGCTGGGAGCATCTTGCAGGGACCCTGCAATTATCATAATAAACAGTTTTATCATCTGCTTGGCAATCAATATTGCGGCTTATGCTGCTTTAGTATCTCAGTGGTATTGATTACCTTAACAACTGTGCTGCGGTCAGCTTCCATTAACCCCTGCTCTGCCGCGGGCTCGAGTCTCCCATGGTTGGATGGGAGACTGTTCTGGTCCCAGCCCAGGCAAGCGCTGGGATTTGAGCTGGCCAGAGAGTCAAGCACAGCTTTTATCTCAAGACACCCAGCAGAAGAAAGGGTTTTAAACAGGGAATCTGGAAGCTAATGCAACTTTTTAAAGGCTTTTTTTTCCCTTCCCTTTGTGGAGACAGTGTATAAAACAATTACAGCAGCGGGGTTTCAACTGTGACTCAGGAATTTGAACGTTAAGAGGGAAAATTCTGATTCTTCCGTGCCTGGGCTCTGTCCAGTGTTCTTCTCAGCTCCACCTCCACCCTCCCCGGGGGAAACGGACATGTGTGGAGTTGAGTGGTGGATGCCGCGCTTAACGCCCTTATGCAACAGGCATTCCTGGGACTCTTCAAGCATTAGTTTTACGATCCACATTTTACTTTTAGAGAGAAACCACTTATTCAGGGACATCGAGTTCCCGGATTCAGGTTCTTCTGGCCCAGCCAGTGCCTGAAGTGAAATGGCCCATCCTGAGGGGAGGGAATGCTGGAGATAGATGGTGGTGCCGCTGTAGATTCTATCACTCTCACTGGCTGCCCTGCCTCTGGTCTGGTTGCTGTTTACATTCCCCTTTTCTCCTGATGAAACAAAGGCAACGAGGACACTCTGCTCTAGGGAGCACTGAGGGACTCCCCAGACCAACCAGTAGTCAGGGATTAGATAGTAGTGACAGTCATTGAGAAACTTGCAGGATGAGATCTTGCCAGCAGTAGGGGTGGTGGTGGTGGTGTGTTGACTTTCTATGTTTTTTTTTCCTCTTTTAACTGCCCTCTTTTGTTTTGTTTTAAATGAGAAATATAGGTGTGTATGCACATGAATATGTGAAGTTGGGGGTGGGGGTGAGGTTGCACACATATCCAGTGGCTTAACCCCCCTGGCGCCCTTTTAGTGAAGTCTGTCATGGGGTCTTCAGCATTGCAGACCCAACAGCACAGATGCTGTTCAACCTGAGTGGCAAGGACCTCTAATGGGAAGCCAGCTACCATGGTCTATAGTTAGTTTTTAACCATTGATGAGTTTTATGGAGTCACTGGGGAGTGGGGGAAAGGAAAAGGAGGGGGGGGGGGCGTGGAAAGGGAGAAGGAGACAGTAGCTGGACTAGAAGGAGAGTGAGTTGTGCTGGCAGCTGCCACTTTCCTATCCTTCTTGCCAGGCTGCAGCCTGTGGCTTCCTGGTCCCTCGTGGCTGCCCCAGAGGAGCCAGGAGTGGAAGTTTATCAGATAGGGAGGAGGCTAGTAGGTATGTGATGAAGGCAAGTGCCACAGACTGAGCTTGGAGAAGTGCAACGGGTCACAGGTGTATGGGATTCCTGGCCATGGGATACAAGCCCCAACAGGGTAAGAGTCTATAGATGAGAGGGTCAAGAAGCCAGGCCACAGAGTCTGGACAGCAAGATGTAAGGCTGTAGGCTCCATCTGGTGAGGCCTAGGCTAGTAAGAGCAAGACTTGGCCTTGTATTGAGTCACAGGCTTGATGAGCAGGGCTGAGCCTGCAGATGCCAGTGAGTAGACAGACCTGCGCGGGTGCGGGGAGGGCCCCAGGGAGTGATGGTGGATCTCTCCTTCCGAAGGGAAAGCCGATGGGAGTGTCCTCTCCTCAGGGTTGGAGAGTCTGCACAGGGCCATGCGTCAGCAAGCCTTCCCTCCTGACTGACCCCATCCTCCTCGGTCACCCTCCCTCCGACTGGGATGTCAAGGGGTCCCCGTCACTGTCTTGTATTCTGGTCCCACCCACTTCTGTCCTCTTTCTCCCTCTGCCCAAACCAGCTTGGTTCCACAGATTGGAAAGTTTTAGACAGAACGTTCTTCCTAAAAACATCACTTAGATAAATTAACTAGACTCAGAGTGTGGGCGGTAGTTCTTAAGTTGACCAAAGTTCCATTGTTTTCCATCATGATGGGGACTGGAGCTCACAGGGTTCCACTGTGATGGGAGAGTGTAGACTAGACTGCTCAGACCCATGGAATAAGTAACATTAATGATGGGAGTGAAGCCAGTTCCCCAGTTTTTGGTTTTATTTAGATTTGTGCACGCTGAGTCATGATGCACTAATGCTGTGGCCAAAATCACCCTTCGCTTTACCCCACTGGTCTTAACTTGAGCTCTGTGTTGGTATTAACTCTTCAAAGTATGACCTCATTCATGTGGAGCTCCTAGACCTTCACAGTGATTTACTTTCTTCTTTTCGCAAATAGCTTTTGAGCTGTGTTCAAACCAGTGTGAGTGGCAGTGTCCTCTGCACAGTAGAGGACACTTAGAGGGCGTTTTACCCTGCCCGCTCATGTCTTACATTGTGTTATGGCCAGAGGGTTTTGCTTTAGCAATAGGTGCCTTACTATGTGCTTTTCCTGCCACACACTGCTCTATGTAAAACTTTCAGACTTAACTGTCTTCCGTCAAGTTCTTGGTATTTGGTGTTATTTATAACTATGCTTTTAAGTGTGAGCAGTGAAACATATTTTTGGGGTCTTTGGCATACTCAGATTTTTTTCATACGCATTTAGACGATGAGGTGTGATTTTGAAGGGTTTGCAAAGGTAGATTCTCTTTAGGAAAGAGATGCCTTTGTAGAGAAAAGAACACTGGAGTGGAAGCCCAGAGTCCCATTCCTGGTCCCTGATCAGCTACTAACCAGCTGGCGACGTTGGGAAAGAGTGACTCATAGTAGTCACTCTTATGTTTGATGAATCTTTTTAAACCTGTAAAATCTGAATGATGAGTCCTATTCTGCCTATTAATACAAGTGTTTGAAACGTGTAAACCACTGTATACATT